TTCTCCCCCATCTCCCAAGATATTCAATTCTTTTGCCGACCAAAATCCTTTCTGGAACGCACGAGAGCTTTCCCGCCCCTCCATTCAACCAGAAAAAGATTTTCAGAATTTTTCATCACTCAAGATGGATATTCTTGGGTTCGCATTTTTCCCTTTCTCTTTGTCCCATTTTTCTATTTTTTCAGAATCCTCCTTTTCCAGATTCCCCTTTTCTCTTCGTTTTTTCCCCGGCTTGATGAAATAAGCTTTCCCAGAGGCGTTCTCTGCCCTTCTCCCCTTCATCCAAAGAATTTGAATGGGTGAGCCCAAACTCAAGCCTACTTTTTGTTATTGATAAAAGTTTTGGTATAGAAAATATAGGCTGACATCCAGTTTGGACGATTTTGACGAGAAATTTGCGAAATTCCAGTCGCGCAGGGACAGTGCGTGTCGAAGTCAGTGGTGCTTGATTAACGATTTTGGTAAAAGTGTCCTGCCTGTTTTAAAACAGCATTAATGGCTCAAATGAGTTCCAGATTAGAGATTCACATGAAAAGTTTCGATCCTGGATCATGGATAGCGGCTAAAAGTGGGCAAAGTCGAAAGATGAGATTTTCGATTTCTCCAAAACGCAATATTTGCCTTTAAAACAGCATCAATAGCTCAAATGAGTTCCAGATTAGAGCTGCAGATGAAAAGTTTCGATCCTGGATCATGGAGAGCGGCTAAAAGTGGGCAAAGTCGAAACATGAAATCCTCGATTCCTTCAAAACGCAATATTTGCTTTTAAAACAGCATCAATGGCTCAAATGAGTTCCAGCTTGGAAATTAGTATAAAAATTTTCAACTCTGGACACTGGATAGTGGCTAAAAGTGGTCAAAGTCAAGCGACTAGAACGACTCCAAGACCAAGATTGATCTTTTTCCCATCCATTCATTCTCTTTCCCCTCTAAACTGTTGTCTGCGCTCTATGAATGATTTCCGTCCATTATATTTCGTAGATTTCTGTCTCCGCTGTATCGTTTGCCCCTCGCCTAAAATGGGCCAAACATCTGCCTTTCAACTCCGTTGTTGGCTTTCTCCCTCCCCCATTCCCCTCCTAACTCATAAAATTCTCTCTAAACCCGTTTTGGGGTTTCACCCCAAAAATGCGCAATCATAACCAAGCGATTAAATTTCTTTTAGAAAGCTTTTTCGATTTAGTTTCAACTTTGAACGCTTCCCTTCAAGTTTCCTTTTGTTTTCGCAAACTTTTACCCAATTTTGGAAACAGTATCCGCTGATCTGGAGGGCACAGGAAATCCTTAAAACAAAATTAGACTATTTTCTTGAGTTCTAAAGAAGTGGGTTTTTGCTGAATCTTCTGGAGCTAATCTGGAGCTTTAAAGTGTTCCTGGAAATTCCTTGCGTGGGTTTTTTCTCATCCTGGAACGCACTCTATCGTTTAGCAATAAAAGCTGGATGTCTAGTGACCTTTGGAAACTATCTGCTAGTCGAGCCAACTCCGACCCCCTAATTTCCAGCCTCAAGACTGTCCCCACCCGCCCCCACCCCATCCATTCTTCAAACTGGACATCACACCCTCATTTGATTTGCTCATTTGATCGCTGTCTTCTTTTTTTCTTCTTCCACCACTTTTGACTCAATCAACTCATTGCCCTGATCTCAATTTGTCGCCAATCCACCTCAAATTTGTTTTCTCTAGTCATTCTGGAATTCACAACAGCTAATAGATTGATTTTTGAGCTTATTTGATAACTTTTTAAAAGAGGGGTTCTTATAGCAGAGCGGTATGCCAGACGGTGAGCGATTACGCGGCCACACAAAGAATACATTGTTTCTTCCGAAATATGGCCAACTTTAATGGCTCATAACTTTGTTTAGAAGCAATATTATTTTTAAGTATTTATATCGTTGGATAGAGGAAACTCCAGGCTTTCGAATCATACAAAATAGAGCTCGATTGGTCTGGCCAAACTAAAGAAAACAGCACCGAAACTGAGTGAACAACGAAAGTGACTCGAGCCTCTTTTCTCTCAATTCTCTCAGCATTCGCTAGTCCAATCGAGCTCTTTTTGGTATCATTTGAAAGCCTAGAGTCTCCTCTTTAAAACTATATTAAAAGTCAATAGTCTAGAGATCTCTAGACAAAGTTATAGTCGTTCAAAAAGCCAAAGTCCATTCCAGCGGCGAATCACTGACACCCAAATCACCAAAAATCGTCAAAATGCCAAAATTTTTGCTTCTTTACTTCAAATGCCGGCCAAGATTACTAATTTTGACTTTTTTTGAAAAATTGAAATCTTAGTTTACTAGAATTGGAATTTTGAAGCTGATTCGAAACAAACACAGTTCAATTTTTGATTTTCCAGAATCCTGCCTTTTTTATTAAACCAATCGGTGTTGTGCGCTCCAGATTTACCCCTGAAAAAAATATTTTTTCAAAATTTCCAACTACGGCCAAAATTTTAGTGTCCAAGTGAAATTTCTTTAAAAAATGACCCCATTTCCCCGCTTTTCCAACCTTTTTACCGCCAATCATTCAAATGCGCTCCAGAATCGCTCGAGCATTAGCCACTGGCCACTAATATGTCAAAATCGACACAAAAACGAGCTAGGTGCTCTTCTCTGCAAAAAGTAGCCCCTCGTTAGCAATTTCCTCGCCAAAAAAAAGCGACTCTCGATCTTTTCACCCAGTGAAGCCTTTTCTGAGACTCTCCTGGGACACAGCGGGGACTATTTTCGGGGAAAGCTTTACTCTCCGCACGGAATAGACCAGCCTGAATCCCTCTGGTTCAATTGCCCAACTTTGACGGTGCCTCATCTCTAAATGTTATCTTTTCTGAAATTTTTCGCTTGAATTCAGCTCAGTGCTTTCCAGGACTCACTATTTTTGGAAAAGTTTAGAGAAAGACAACGAATTTCCTCAGGAATTCACCCAGCTATCCAATTTAGTTACCTAATTTTGTCACCATTTCTAAGTGATACCTCTTCTGAAGTTTTTCTCATGAACTCAGCCCAGTGCTTTCCAGGACCCACTATTTTTGCCAAAGTTTTGAAAATGGCAACGAATTTCCCCAGGAATTCACCCAGCTACCCAAGTTAGGTACCCAAGTTTATCGTTATTTCTGAAATGTCTCCTTTCTGGGAGTTTTCTCGTGAATTCAGCTCAGTGCCTTCCCGTTTTCACAATTTTGACAAAAAGTCACAATATCTTTTGAGGGAACCAGTAGAAAATCATTCCGGTTTAGTTACCCAACTGGCTTTTCGTAAATTTCGCAAATTTCTCAATTCAACTTTTTTCATTCCCCAAATCCCATCGATAGTTTACAAAGCAGAGATTGTTCTTCCTGGAAACTTGCAAAAAAAACCGTGAAATTCTGTACGATTCGGTGCCAGCTGGGCGTAGAAAGTTTTTGAAAAATTTTTTTGAATATAAACAATTTATCTGTCAAAAAAAAGCTGATTTCTCTAGTAAATTTTGACAAAAAAAAAGGAGAGAATCGGTGTCAAATAACATTGAAAAAAGGAAACTCGCAGGGGAAACGGGCATTTCAATGAACGCGACAAATTCTCGACCGCCGAGAACCGCCGATTTCCCGCGCATCTATGAACGCCATTTTCACGTTTTAATCGTTTTTCTGGAAAGGAAACGGTGATCTGGAGCGCACAATAAAAAATAAAAAGCTTAAACCAGAGCTTTTTTGACTTTTGCAAGATTTGCTCTTGGCGCTCGCTGACCACCATCCTTTTTGGCTCTTTTCTTCATTTTTAACCCTCAAAACTTTTCAGAACCATTTTCTGGAAGGCACATAAGATATTGAAAAGATAAGAATGGTAGGTGATCAATAAATGTGCCTGGATGGCTGGGGGCTGGGGCTGAGGCTGGGGCTGAGGCTGGGGCTGGGGCTGGGGCTGGGGCTGGGGCTGAGGCTGGGGCTGGGGGCTGATGGGGCCTAACCTTCATTGATGCACCCCTTCTCTCTTTCCCGTCCACTCCCTTCTCCTCCCTCCATAAGCCTGATTTATTGGATGTCACAGAGATTGGTTGGTGTGTGCTTTGGGATGAGATATTTAGACAAGGCGCTGTGAAAGGAAAAGATAACGATCACTGACTAGCGAGAGCAAGAGTTCGAGCGCCGAACTGCACGATTTCCAAAGCAAAACCCAAAAATTTGCTTCCCTTTCGAAATACCGATTTTCTGCAAGTCGATTCTTCAAAATCGCCAACTTTTGCGCGTTCTGGAGCTCACGGATTCAAAACAAGCATTCAGTAAAGTGGTCTGACGTGTGAAATGTTTTTCTCTCATCTCATCAGCCCTTCAAAAGAGCCATTTCATTCTCATGGAATCAACCGGGTGGGGACAGTCTTGAGGCTGGAAATTAGGGGGTCGGAGTTGGCTCGACTAGCAGATAGTTTCCAAAAGTCACTAGACATCCAGCTTTTATTGCTAAACGAGAGAGTGCGTTCCGGGATGAGAAAAAAAACACGTAAGAACTTTCCAGGAGCACTTTAAAGCTCCAGATTAGCTCCAGAAGATTCAGCTGAAAACCAAATTCTTTAAAACTCAAGAAAATAATCTAATTTTGTTTTAAGAATTTCCTGTGCCCTCCAGATCAGCGAATACTGTTTCCAAAATTGGGTAAAAGTTTGCGAAAACAAAAGGAAACTTGGGGTAAAGCCTTTAGCTAAAAGATTTTGCTCAAATTTGCATATTTTCCTTCTTGTCCTGCCTAGATCTTCCCAATGCCATCCAGAACTCACAAAAATTTTGCTTCTTTTGAAAATTTGAATATTTCAAAGCCACTTTTGCCTCTGATTCGTCTCCATGACTCAAGATTTACTCAGAAGGCGCTTGAGCCAAAAATCTTCATATTTTTAGCTTCAATGACCTCCAGATCGTGCATTTCCATTCAAAAATCTGTACCCCAACTTGTTTGATTTTTCGAAATGCTTTTGAAGTCACTCCTTCACATTTTCTTGCCGATTTCTACAATTTTGCATTCAATTTTTTCAGAAATGAGGTGGCCCTCGTTGTTGGGAGTGATTCTATTGTTACGGGAATCCATTTGTGATCCGAAGATCGCGACAAAATCGCAACGGTTCGAAGTGCGGGAGGGGAGCACGGTCGAGTTGCCATGTCATGTCGACGATTTGGACAGTTGGTTTTATAGTTTGCAAGGTTATGCAAAGTTTTTCTGCCATTTTTAGTCGATCTGGAAGGCACTAGACCCATTGTAGCCATTTTTCTCTATTCAGCAAACAGTTAGACGTAAGTTGATGCAATTTGCGTAACTGAACCGGATCCCAATTTTTTCGATAGAAGTAATGTACCTTGAAAATGATTAAAAACAAGACTGTGACTTCCAGATTCGACAAATCAAGCTTACAAAATAGAGACAAGGTTACGGTAGTCGAGAAAACGGGCACCATTTAGAATGGGTATTTAAGAAGCGAACTTTTCGAAGTAACACACCTTGAAAATGATCAAGACTGTGACTTCCAGAATCGACAAATCAAGCTTTCAAAATAGAAATGCGATTACGGTAGTCGAGAAAATGGGCACCATTTAGAATGGGTATTTAAGAAGCGGACTTTTCGAAGTAACACACATTGGAAATTATTAAAAACAAGACTGTGACATCCAGGATTACCAAATCCGATTTCAGGGTGGTCAAATCGAGACCAGAAAGGTTGAAAAACTTTAGGCTCCCCAACTTCTTCAAATTTAAGGCTAAAATTGAGTGTACTCGGTATTTTATATTTCAATTTGAGTTTTCTACAACAAGTTCAATTTCAGCCGATGACACGATCACTTGGGAGACCTCGGAGGGAACGATTTCGCTGGATGAGGAGAAACTGACAAACGATGATAGTCTAGATGTGAGAAAAGATGGATCGGTGAGTGGGAAAAGAGCTGGCTAGAGTTTCTTAGAGTTATGCTCATCAAAAAGCCAAGCGGTCAGACAAAAGATGAATCCTGGAAGTCACACTAGAATCTGGCTAACACTAGAAAGCCTAGTTGCAATTTGAGCAATCTGTAAGAGTTCTGTGAGAGTTGGCTAGAGTTTCATAGAGTTATGCCCATCAAAAAGCCAAACACCCAAACAAAAGATGAATCCTGGAAGTCACACAATGAATTCCTCAATTTTCAGGACATGATCTTAATAATCCGAAACGTCGAGCCGCAACACTCACGTCAATTCACGTGCAAGTTGCCCGCCAACGACGCCTCGGTCACCCATGAAGTTGTCGTTGTTTGTGAGTTTTAAAACCAGAATTTCGTTGTGTGCGTTCCAGATTGGCGATTAGTTACAGTAATTTTCATTTTTAGTGATCCTAGTGAGGGAAAATTGGGCTTAAACCAAAGTTGAAAAAGATGCCTTTTCAAAAATCCATAACTTTCCCAAACTAGACCCATTTTTTTGTGTTGTGCGCTCCAGCTTGGCGAAAAAACGGATTTTCAGCCTCGCCAAGTGTGAGTATTTCGCCGGATTTGAGCGAAATGACCACGCGGAAGGGAGATAAAGTGACGCTGCGGTGTCAGGCCACCGGAAACCCCGCGCCCGAGATCCAATGGTCCAAGAAGGTGAGTGGATCCTAAAAAGACAAAAAAACGATTAAAAACAGGCGTTGAAATTGAGAACACGGTCCGGATTAGTTACCCAACTTTGGGATCTACAGAAATGTGCTTGAATTTTTTCAAACGCAAAATTTTCAGCTGATTCAATTTCTAATTTCTCGCGTGACCTCCAGAATCTCGTTTTCCGTTAAAAAATTGACCTTTTGATGGTTTTAATAATGAAAAAATAGTCCGAGACGCTAATCCAAAAACCAACTTCTCCATTTTGCTGAATTTCGACTGAATTTTTCTTTCAAAATCTCCCGTGCCCTCCAGAATTTAACTTTTTCGCAAAAAAAATTTGATTTGACAAATTTCCGACACTAGAAAGTCGGAGCTGAAAATTCTTGGCTCACTCGAAAATCTCAAAGCAAAATTTGACACTCTTTTTCTTTTTCAAACTCTTTTGTGCGCTCCAGTATATTGTTTTCAAGTGATCCGACATGTGTTTGGATGATTTGGGATGATTTCGGGGCGGATTCCGCGTCGGGATCATAGCTTTATGGGTGTCGTTCATCTCGTTTCCCCTCTTTCTCCTCATTGAATGATTTTTACGACCCCTATCTCTTTCACTTTCACCCTTCCAGACACCCAGCGATTATTGTCAGAGAACGAGTGAAATCTAGAATAATACCTTGGGGATCAGAATATTGAAATTCGAAATCTCTTTGGGATTAAAAATTGAGTAATTGCAAGGTGATGCAACTTTTTTTTGCTATTTCTAGCCGATCTGGAAGGCCCTAGACTCATTAAAACCATTTCTTTCTATCTATCAAACAGTGAGCCGAGCTTCTGGCATAGCCCTGACTTGGAAAAAGCCTTTCGAGCGCTTTGGGTATCGCACTTTCGAGCACTTGCCTTAAAGATTGGTAATTGCAAGGTTATGCAAATCTTTTCTACCCTTTCTAACTGATCTGGAAGGCACTAAACTCATTAAAACCATTTCTCTCTATCTAGCATATAGTTATCCGGAAGTTGATGCAAGTTGCGTAACTGAACCGGACCCCAATTTTTTCGATAGAACTAATACACTGTGAAAGTGATCAAAAACAAGACTGTGACTTCCAGAACCGACAAATGGAGTCCCGAAAATCGAGACAAGGTTACGGTAGTCGAGAAAATGGGCACCATTTAGAATGGGCATTTGAGAAGCGGAATTTTCGAAGTAACACCCCTTGAAAACGAGTAAAAACAAGACTGTGACTTCCAGAACTGACAAATCAAGCTTCCAAAATAGAGACAAGATTACGGTAGTCGAGAAAATGGGCACTATTTAGAATGGGTATTTGAGAAGCCGAATTTCCAAAGTAAAACTCCTTGAAAACGAGTAAAAACAAGACATTCAGGATTACCAAATCCAATTCCAGGGTGGCCAAATCGAGCGCGACGTGACCAGAAAGGGCTCCCACTCGCTGATTTTCACCGCCGATCTCAACCACCAGGGTGTCTACATCTGTTCGGCGAGAAACAAAATCGGAGAAGCTCGTCGCCAAATCGATCTCAAAGTCTCCGGTGAGTTCCAGGATTAACAGTGACAATAATATTTTAGCCTAAAACTTTTCCGTTGGCTTTAAAAAGTGGCAAAGTTTTCCTGTTTCAAAACGATTTTTAAAAATTCCCTAACTAACTTAAAATCGATTTTTTTGCAAAGCATGCACTCCATATCTCTAAAAAATGAAAACAAAATTTTAACTAAGCGTCTTTTTTTGAAAATAGCATGGTGTGTGGGATTTTGAGTGACCAAACTTGGTGTTAAACTCTGAAATGTCAAAGCTGTCAAAGCCGAAACTTGTCCTAAACAAATCTCGGCGAAAAACTTTGCTCCTAAGAAATCTAATGGCATTTTCCTCGGATCTGGAACGCACACTATGAAAAGCATTAACTTTGGTTAACTTAAACCCTTTTCGAACAAATCGGGTATCTGACCAAAACTTGTCCAAGTCAAATCACAGTGAAAAACTTTGTCCCTAAGAAATCTAATGTCATTTTTCTCGGATCTGGAACGCACACCATGAAAAGCATTAACTTTTATAAGCCTAAATCCTTTTCGAACAAATCGGAGATTTGGTCAAAACTTGTCCAAGCCAAATCTCAGTGAAAAACTTTGCCCATAACAAATCTAATCAAATGTTTCCCTTATCTGGAATGCATTCTTCGAAAAGCATTCACATTTGTTAGCCTAAATCCTTTTCGAACAAATCGGATATTTGGTCAAAACTTGTCCAAGTCAAATCTCAGTGAAAAACTTTCCTCTTAACAAATCTAATCAAATATTTCCCTTATCTGGAATGCATCCAACAAAAATCATTAACGTTTTCATAGCTAACTCATTTTTTCAGCAAACGGCAATCAGTTGCAAGGGGAAGGAGGTGAGTTCAATTGTCCATAGTAAATCCTCGTTGTCATCGTCTATTTTGTCCATTTTTCAACTCCACAACTCACAGCTTTCTATTTAGAAAGCCACAGCACTCGACTTTGCTTTAAAATTTTCATTTCCAAGCTTTTCTAAAGGGTGAAAAAAGTACCGTAACCCGAGAACCCAGATTTGCGAATTTTGCAATCGCAAGTGATCTGGAGCACTGAATGACTTCCAGGATCGACGATTCAGTGCTTTAAATCGCTTGATTTTTGTAAAATTCCCGAAGAAATCGAGGGAACTCGAAACGGTACCTTTTTTTGATTAATTTTATCTTTTTTTCAGTGAAACCGTGGATTCGGACCGATTTCGGATATTTGCCTGTACATCGGGGAAACTCCGTGAACATCTCGTGTCGTTTTGACGGAAATCCCCCGCCGAATCTCGATTGGTACTTCAATGGGTACAGGGTAAAGGTGGGTGATGGAAGAGGGACCAAAAAGCTCTTATTTAAAGTTCTCAATTATTTCCAAAGATCAAAAATTGACTCCAAGGCGCTCCAGGATAGCTTTTCCAGAGGAAATTTTACGTTTTAAAGTCTCTAATAGAAGAAAATTGATCTGAAGTCAGCTCTAGCTTAGGAAAAGCAAAGCCAGAATCCAGAAACAGCCCTAGATCCAAGGACTGCTTGGATTTTGGAGATAGAGCCAAACTAGACAAGCTTGACCTTGACACTCTGACATGGTGGAGCTTCTGGCATGGCCCTGACTTCGAAAAAATCTTTCTAGCGCTTTGGGTATCGCACTTTCGAGCGCTTGCCTTAAAGGTTGGTAATTGCAAGGTTATGCGAATCTTTTCAAACCCTTTCTAACCGATCTGGAAGACCCTAGACCCATTGTAGCCATTTTTCTCTATTTAGCAAACAGTTAGCCGTAAGTTGATGCGAGTTGCGTAATTGAACCGGACCCCAATTTTCCCGATAGAACTAATATACTGTGAAAGTGAGCAAAAAGAAGACCGTGACTTCCAGAACCGACAAATGGAGTCCCGAAAATCGAGACAAGGTTACGATAGTCGAGAAAATGGGCACCATTTAGAATGGGTATTTGAGAAGCGGACTTTTCGAAGTAACACACCTTGAAAATGAGTGAAAACAAGACTATGACTTCCAGAACCGACAAATCAAGCTCCCAAAATAGAGATGCTATTACGGTAGTCGAGAAAATGGGCACCATTCAGAATGGGTATTTGAGAAGCGGAATTTTCAAAGTAATACCCCTTGAAAACCGGTAAAAACAAGACTGTGACAGCCAGGATTACCAAATCCAACGTAAAAATGAGACTAAATGCAATTGTTGGCGAGTCTGACGATCAATCGAAAGTTTCCCAATTTCTAGATGAACGACGCAAAATTCAAAGATGCTAAAGAGTACGATCAACGCGAGAAAAACTACACACTGTCGACGCTGGAGGTTTGAAAAGAAAGTCGATCCAAATTACCGTGTTTTAGGTGCATAATCTTGACCCAGACATGTTCGGTGACTACTCGTGTCAAGCGTCGAACAATTTTGGCTCCGCCATCGAAGTGATTCATGTTTCCGGTGAGTTTTTGAATATTTTTGGTCTCCAATAGGCCTAGTGACTTCCAAATCAGACAAAAAGTTGCCAAAGTTTGCATTTAAGAGCTTCTAATGGTCTAAACTGGCGACCTTGACTTCTACAGCTTTCCTTGCCCTATTCGATTCATGTCAAGCTATCATAAAAATGACTGCAATAAGCCTAGTGACTTCCAGATTAGACAAAAAGTTGCTAAAATTTGCATTTATTAGCTTCTAATGGTCTAAATTGGCACCATTGTCTACGGTAGCTAACTTGAAATCTCCTGTTTAATAATTTTGTAAAAGAAATGACTGCAATAAGCCTAGTGATTTCCAGATCAGACAAAAAGTTGCTAAAATTTGCATTTAAGAGCTTCTAATGGTCTAAACTGGCGACCTTGACTTCAATAGCTTTCCTCACCCTATTCGATTCCTGTCAAACTATCAAAAAAATGACTGCAATCGGCCTAGTGACTTCCAGATCTTCCAAATTTGCATTTAAAGGCTTTTCATAGTCTAAACTGGCCTCATTGTCTTCCTCAACATAAACCTCACGATTACAGATAGCTGTGTTGTCTCTCGTGCTCTCTCGTAGTGCATTCCTCTTCTTATTTTGATGTGTTGCCAGGTGTCTCCCATCTGTCCCCTTTCCCTCAATCTTTTCAATCACAAAGCGTTGTTTCCCGTTGTCGATTGTTTCCCTCTTTTGTCTCTCTCGATTGGTATTATTGTCGTTTGAGACAAGCGCGATTTTCTCGCGCAACGAGCTAAAATAGTTAGGGATTACTAGGGCCTGTCCTTGTCCTTAAGGGGTTATCCTTTTACTATTTTAAAATCGAAAAGTCCAAGCTATTCTGGGCTCATTGTCAGCTCCTAGAAATTGACGATAGTTTATCGTGTTCATTGAAGATAGATCATTTGCACACAACTCGTAGACGCTCATTTTCTCTCGCAATCCACTGGGGATCAAGAGTTTTAGGGATAATTGATCTTTGAAAGCGAGATCCCGCGTTTCCCTAAAAGAAAACCATCTTGAAACTCTCTACAACCGTTTAAACCCCTAAGAGGCATCGATACGCAGATTTTCAAGCTCTTTCGTGCAAACTGGAACACACTAGAGTCACTGGCGGCCACTGGATACATCTTTTGATTAGTTGAAACAACTCGGCCCAAAAACTATCCAGATTTGTGAATTTTGAATCTCTACAACCGTTTAAACCCCTAAGAGGCATCGATTCGCGAAAAACGCTTCTGGCATCTCTATTTGAGGCGTTCAAACAGTCACCCAGAAGATCGCTTGGTGGTTTAGTGGATAAGGCGCTTGTATCCACTAGTGGTGCATTTTTTTGCTCGGGTTCGATTCCTTTTTCAGCTAAATCTTTTGCTTTTTGTTTATTTAAGTATTTCCACACTAAATTCTGTTCTTTTTAATCTTCTATCGTAAATTTCATCAAAATAAAGTCTGCAAGATGGTCTGGATCTTGTTTTGAAACACTAACAATGAGTTCTTTCCCGAGTAAATCGATTCCTATACTCAGAAACAGTCAAACAGACTTGGTATGTTATTCTAGAGCTAGATCTTGACTAGGTTGAGCTAGATATGAGCTAGATCTTGTCAGGTTGAGCTAGATATGAGCTAGATCTTAACTAGATCTTGACTAGGTTTAGAGCTAGATATGAGCTAGATCTTGTCAGGTTGAGCTAGATATGAGCTAGATCTTAACTAGGTTTGGCCAGCTAGACATGAGTTAGATCTTGGCTAGATTTGGCCAGCTTAGAAGCACATTTTAGACTCACTTCACAAGAGTTCACTCGAGATTTAGATTTAGGCAATCCCGGCAATCCCAAAATTTCCAGGCAATCCCGGCCCACCCGAGCTTTCCGTCGATGGAACGAGCCTCAAATGGAGTGTCCAATCAAAAGCGCCGATTCTCGAGTACCGCGTTTTGTTCCGTTTCCTCAAACAGGACACGTGGACCGGCAAGAAGAGTGTCAGCGCTGATCTGAGTGCGTTTTTTTGTGTCAATCGAGTTACCCAACAACTTTCTTCAATATTTATTGTTTATTCTTTTAAAGTGCGTTCCAGATTGAGCCTCTAGCTTCTTAAAACGGCACCAAAAAAAACCGCCGGTTTAATTACCCAAGTCTAGGCTTGATTTTTCAAATAAAACTTAACCACAAATTTTGATTTTAATGATGATTTTAATGATGATTTTAATGATGATTTTAAAAGATGACCTGCCTTCCATAGTCCGTATTGGAACGGTATTGGAACCGCATTGGAACCGTACTGGAACCGTATTGGAACGTATTGGAACCGTATTGGAACCGTATTGAAACCATATTGGAACCATATTGGAACCGTAAAAGGAACCGTAAAAGGAATCGTATTGGAACCGTATTGGAACCGTATTGGAACCGTATTGGAACCGTATTGGGACCGTATTGGAACCGTATTAGATCAAAATAGGAACCGTATTGGAACCGTATTGGATCAAAGTAGGAACCGTATTAGATCAAAATAGGAACCGTATTGGAACCGTATTGGATCAAAATATAAATAGAGGAGATTTTTAGGAGATCAAACAGGTGCCGATCGCTACTCGAATTCGATTGATTTAGCTTCGTTTCTGCAAAGGGGGACGACTTACGAGGTTCAGGTGCGTCCAGGAAAGATCTAGCAGACGAAAATCTAGCAAAATATTGAATTGATGCTAATTTATGGCGATTTTAGCTGGAAGCTCGAAATGCGGAGGGTTGGGGCTCGTTGGCGCGGAAATTCGTCACCGTTGATGTGCCCGGAAGTGATGAAGGTGAGAATTTCAATTGAAAGCCACTGTAAACCTTGCTGTGATATCCATAACGGCACATTTCCAATTTTCAATAGCTACAGTAATCCCTAAAGCCTGGATATCCTACCGTAGCCGATTTGTGAACTACCAACTTTTAGAAAACGAAGATAATCATTTAAAAACTACGGTAAACCCTGCTGTGACATCCAGAACTGACAAAATCACAAATCCACTTTCCAGCCTCGCCCGGTTCGGCCTCCACACACTTGGTCGCGTTGCTCGTCCTCGTCACCGTATGGCTCAACTTGTGAGAGTGTCAGATTTTCAGATTTTCTTTTCACCAATCTTCCTCGTGCATTCCATAACTTCAAAATTCCCGAAAAAACTCAGGCTTTCATGTTGCCATTTTGAAAAAATTTCGATGTGAAAATTTTTGGCCCTAGAACTTTTTGTTTTTCTTTTTTTCGCCCACTTTTCAAGGGAAAAACCTCAACTTGTACAGAATTTTTCGAAATTTTTGCAATTTCAATCTTTTACAATGATTTTCTATCAGTTTCCCGTTCGTTCGTTGTGTGCTTTCCTGTCACTTCCCATGGCTTCACTTTAGTTGGTTCGCCGATGGAAAAATTTCTATTTTCTCTAATTAACCTAATGTTTTTATTGATTCAATGCTAATCCTGGAACGCACAGCAGCTGTTGCACTGAAATTTCTAGCGATTAGAGGAAAAATTTCGAGGCTTTGACGAATGATTTGAGATCTCGCCGTTTTGCCTAAGAAATTTGCATAAATTTGTATTTTTAGAGATTTCAGGTCTAATCCTGGAAGTCACAGAGCCGATTGCAGCCAAAAATTTCAAGTCTTAGCCCTTTTTAAAAAAAAAGTGCACCAGGTCGCTTGTGTTTCCGTAAAATTTAAAAATTCTAATTTTTTTGAAAAATTTCGTTCGATATCCCCGCTTTCGGGTGTTTTTCGCTTTTTTTGTTTAATTTTTGTGTAACTTTTGTGTAATTTCTGCGAAAATTTAGTCAAATTCTCATATTTGGGTGAAGGCGTCGTTTTTGAGGAGTACTGTAAGTTGGGTCAACTTTTAAAAAAAGCTATAGCGCTCGGCGATTTCGAGAGACGGTAGTGTGCTCTCCAGAACGGTGACTAATCCAATTTGGAGCAATCTAGCCTAGCGCAACACTTAGAAAAAGCCTCAAAATCGTTACGATTTTTAGGTCAACTTTTCATTAAAGTTAGAGCGCCCGGCGATTTCGAGAGACGGTAGTGTGCTCTCCAGAACGGTGACTAATCCAATTTGGAGCAATCTAGCCCAGCGCAACACTTAGAAAAAGCCTCAAAATCGTTACGATTTTTAGGTCAACTTTTCATTAAAGTTAGAGCGCTCAGCGATTTCGGGAGACCGTAGTGTGCTCTCCAGAACGGTGACTAATCCAATTTGGGGCACTCTAGCCCACGGCAACACTTAGAAAAAGCCGCAAAATCGTTATGATAACCTATTTTTGGAAAGTCGCCACTTTACAGTACCTCTTCCGCCAAAAATCGCCGCTTCCCCTCGATTTTCCTCGGTGAATTTCACGATTTTCATTTTTTCCTTAAAAATTTCAATAATTTACACGTTATCTTGCCAAAATTTCAGTTTTACAACGATTTTTTATTTTTTTATAACAAATTTTCGTTTTTTTTATTTTCTGTAAATTCAGATGTGATATTTTAAAATAAATTTTTGATATTTATATGTAAATTTCGAAAATTTCCATTTCAAACACCCAAATGCTCTCCAAATTGAGCGATGAAAAAGTTCAAATTCACAAAATTCGACCGATTTCGTAAATTTAAGCCCGCAAACCGATTTGACGAAAGCGATGCTACTCTAAAATCACTTTTTTGCCCAAACTTTGTCACCCATGCCTCTTGGTGATTTCCAGTTTGAAGAATGAGAAAGTCAGAATCGGGGAAAAGTTCTGAAATTGCACAATCGGAAATCGGCTCACAATCAGAGTTGAGTGGCCGGCGCGTGTCGTGGCTGCGCTCGCGTTGTACCCGGATCGGCGTGTCGGTAGCACCAGCTCTGGAAAAAAAAGCATATATACAGGTTGATAAGTGATCTTCGTTTTAAATAGCAGAGAAAACGTCAAAATAAAATAGAAACATTTAAAAATGAATGACTGTCCTCAACATTTCGCCAGTTTCCCCTTAAATACAAATTGCTTAGCTCAATATCTTTTTTGCTGAGGATTTGCCAATAGGTCTCAAAAGAAGGGGGTGGGACAAATGCGACCTTTTTTTGCGCACCTGAACATTTGCGCACCTTTTTTTTGCTGGAAAAGGCCTTAGGAAAGGTCGTAGAGCTTCGAAAATGTTTCCATATTGGGGAATCGTATGCGTAGATTCCGAATTTCGACAAATCAAAGCAAATCAGACCTCGCTGACACGTTAAATTTGAGCTAAAAGGCAAAAACTACGCAACTTAACGCTTTTCCGTAGTTTTTGCCTTTTAGCCCAAATTTGACGTGTCAGCGAGGTCTGATTTGACGAAATTCGGAATCTACGCATACGATACCCTTCTATCAAAACATTTTTGAAGCTCTACGACCTTTCCTAAGGCCTTTTCCAGCAAAAAAAAGGTCACATTTGTCCCACCCCCAATGACTGTCCTAAAAACTTCGCGAGTTTCCCCTTAAATACAAATTGCTTAGCTGAATATCTTTTTGATTTGCCTGAAGATTTGCCAATAGGCCTCAAAAGAAAGAATAGGTTTGCCAATGGGTAAAAACCGAACCGTGATTTTGCATTTTCTTTTCTTACTTTCTAGAGGAAACTCCAATGTTTTTTTACGGGTTTTGGTAGTTTGAAGTTAATATTTTTCAAGCTCATTCTTATCATGGTTGAGAAGCTGAGTTACCTAGGGATTATTAAGAAGCTGTCTAGTTGTCTAGAAGTTGTTGTTGTTGTTGTTGTTTCTCTAGAAGCTTTTAATTTTAATTGCCCTTTTTTTTACAAAATTTAATTGTTTTGTTTATTTAATTGTTTATTTACAGGTAGAACGACGCCAAGCAAAATGCCGTTTGAAATGCGAAAGCTGACGTCATTCCCAATGGAGAAGCTATGCTACGACCTAAAGCTGGAGATGCTCGAGCAAACGAAGCCGAATGATGGGATTGAATTGGTCAAGGTGAATGCAGGATTTCGATCGATCCTGCTACGGACACCCTGGATAGTTTTTGGGCATCACGTGCAAGTGATCAACTATTCTCATGGAGAGATTCGAATCGGGAAATTCTCCAGCTCATACCCGTCGAACTTGATGTCGATCTCCACCATCCATTGATCAAACGAATCCGCTCATGTGACAAATTGATGATAGCCTTGCACTACGAACAATTCAGCGACGGACACGCAACGATTCTGAATCAATTGGCCTCTGTGAAACGTTTGTGGCTCTATGTGAACAGCAACGAGTGTTTGCGGAAAGTTCTTGAGAATTTCCGCTGGACGGTTGAAGAATCCGGGCGGATTGACGTGAACATTGATTTGTTGAAAGAAAATCAAGTGATCAGCGAGCTTTTTTAGAATTTCATCGGCAAATCAGATGAATGACTACGAAAAAGTCGAGTTTCTTTGTCGTTTCGAAGCTGCTTTTCACTTTTACCACGATGCTTTTGATATGACTTCGATAAAATTCTTGAAAATGTCTCTCGTGGTTTCTCTTGGTTTCTCGAAGAGCAACTTTGAAGAGATCGTGCAATGAATCGTTAAAAGGCGGATCCTAAGCAAGAATTCGAAAGCGGCTTTTTACGTGTATACCGGCTATTCTCAGGAGCCCAGATCGTCGATTTCCTTTCGCAATTCCCTGGAATAAAGCGATTCGACGGAGAAAATAAACAAAAGGTCATCGAAATCGCGAACGAACTCTTGAAAAATCATGACGGAGACTTGTCGGAGCATGTTGATTTCACGGACGGTCTATTTTTTGACGAAACATTAACTCGAGCAGGGTTGTGTCTACATGCTTCAATCGCACTACAACAGATGGATCACACAATTTTTCGCCTTCGTCGTTCAACCGCAATCGGAAATGATGGAGTTTTGAAGGTTTTTATTGGGTTTTTTTGCAGTTTATATATTGTGTTTGTTCATTTGTACGGTTAATTAGTGCGTTTATTATATCATTCTTTCATTGTGACTCATTTCATCGAATCTACATCGATTGGAGATCAGATGGATTGCCACATTTTCTGCACTCCGTCAGTACTCAAAAATTCAATCCACCTCTAGTAATTCCTCGTCGGACCGTGCAATGGATGCAAGAGGCACGTCAGCAATGTAGAAGAGAGCAAGAAGAGAATGAAAAGAGGAAACGAGAAGAGAAAGGACACAGGGAGATTTGAAATTTTGTAATTTTCCCTCAGATTACCTCAACCCGACTTGATCTCTAATCAAAACCCCCATTTTTGCGCTTTTTTTGCTTTGACAATGAGCATTTGGAGCACACACTTCGCGTTTTCATTTCAAAATTCATGAGCACAATATTTTCGTATTTTCTCGGTCCCTAGCTCAACCAGCTCGCTCTGTGCACTGGTGTAAATAGAGCTAGTTCGTACGTTTTTCGACCAGACGACAGTGTGCCCTCCAGGAGGAGAGATGCGACGGAAAAGGGACGGCTAAAGTGCACCCGGCTCTCGCGTTTCCAGCAAATAGGCATCCTGGCCGGGACCTGGTACTCCATTGCTTCCAAGTGGCTGTAGTGCTGAAATTGCTGGTTCAATCGATATTATGCGATCCAGAATCGTGATTGAAAACATTGAATTGAGGCGATGACACCCAAAACCTTGAAATGTCTTGATGGTGGTTTTAAATGGTTGCTTTTCGAAATCCGAGACAACAAAATTTTGACAAACCTTTGAAATTCAGTTTTCCAGCGGTGTGCACTCCAGGATTAAGCCTGGTAAAATCTCAGGCATCCCCACTTGACTCCAACTTATTTTCTTTAAGTGGACGGCTTTCGGCCTTGCATTCAAATTGGCTGGATTGAGGAGAAATCCCCAAAATTTAATGCCCAAACTAAAGCATGCGCTCCAGAACGACGTTTCGAAAGATTTCAGGCATCTGAGCTTGGCTCAAACGAAGCTTTCAAAATCTTTTTGTCGAGGCATCGCACCGCGACTCTCACTCTGTCATCTCTGCGTCTCTTCTCAGTGTTCATTGCTTTTCAGGCATCCCTCCGCGAGCCCCATTTGACCCGCAATATATAAAGAGGCTGTGTATCGATTGCTTTTCAATTCGTTATTCAGTGGAAAGTTCATTGACATGACCGGACGAGGCAAGGGTGGCAAAGGATTGGGAAAAGGAGGTTGGTGACAAACAAGATTTTGATTGTGATCTAATTTCTTGCGAAACTTTGGTAGAATCCAATGTTTGAAGTGAATTTCAGCCGTAGTTGAGCCTGACAATTGCTAAATGACAATCTAGTTGGATCTAATTGGAACAATTGCTAAATGACAATCTAGTTGACCGATCAAAAATACTGCCGGGAGTCGAACCCGCGACCTTTCGCTTATCAGGCAACTGGGCTAACCATCTCACCAAAATGCACTCAATCTCCCTTCCTCCAAAGGAAGTTAACTATCTGTCAGGAGTCATAAGCGTCTAAAGTTTTGTTTGGACGTCATTTAGGCCCTCTTAGCGGTCTCCTTGCGGACCAGACGCCGTGCGGTCACGGCTGAATTGTAGAGTGCTCGTTTCCAGAGTGCGACCTCGCAATTTCGATCTCGCTTCGGCTTTCTCTTTTGCTTTTTTCAAGAAGACTGTAAGTTAGGAGATTCAATGACAAGTAGGGGTGCTCCAGAGGCTCAATGACAAGTAGGGACGACCCTAGGGCCTGAAAGCTTACAAGGGAATGATTCAACCAGTTCTTAGTTAGCCAGGTCACGTCTTAGCTGATCTGCTTCTATCCCTGGTCTTGGCTAGCCAAAGCCCGGAGATTAGCTTTGCATAAGCCCTGAGTTAAAGAAGAGGCATACTTAACTTTATAGTTCTTTTGAATTGATCCTGAAATGCAAAGCTGAAATTCAAATGCAAGGCTGGATGATTTAAGCTATTCCAGACTTTGGTAAAGGAAATCCACTCACAAATTTCTCTTCCAGGCGCCAAACGTCATCGAAAAGTCCTTCGTGATAACATCCAGGGGATCACCAAGCCGGCAATCCGGCGTTTAGCTCGACGTGGAGGCGTGAAACGTATCTCCGGGTTGATCTACGAGGAAACGAGGGGTGTACTGAAGGTGAGTGAGACAGAATTGAGACTAGTTGAAGATTTTGGCTCGAGATGATAGGGTGACACCCAGATTAGCCAAAAATCAAACTCCCAGCGCGGCTAGGGTTAGTTGGACCGAAATTTTGAAGTGAACTGATTAGAGACTTATAGTTAGGTAGGGTTTGGCTAAAATGACCAAAACTAAGCTTTTCAAAAGATAGTGTGCTATCCAGAATTGCCGAAATATCATATCATATCCAAAGCCTGGACCATGTTAGCAAGGTCAAGATTTTAGCGTGACATGATTCGAAGTGGCAGTGGTTTTTTCTAAAACACGAAAACTTGAAATTAAACGCTTCAAAACATAGTATGCTATCCAGATCCACCAAAAATTGATCTCAACTTATACCTAGTTTTCTACATTCTAGGTATTCCTCGAGAACGTGATCCGTGACGCGGTCACCTACTGCGAGCACGCCAAGCGCAAAACGGTACGTGAAAATTCTCCATTAGGCAGGGAAATGTTTATAGTACCGTTAGAAATCAAAAGACAACTCTAAAAATCCGATTCCAGGTGACTGCTATGGACGTGGTGTACGCGCTGAAGCGCCAAGGCCGTACTTTGTACGGCTTCGGAGGCTGAAGAATTTTTCGTGATTTTAGTCTTTTTTTTTGTTTTTAACCTTCCCCGTGCGTTCCAGGAGCTAACTTTTCTCTAGCGATTTCGGTTTTTTTCGTTTAATTTCTTTCCAAATGGTCTCATTCTCGTACTTTCGGACTTGTACTGAAAAATTTTCTGATTTCAATCTTTTTACTCCTTTCAACTTTTACCGTGCGTTCCAGGATCCAACTTTTCTTAAGCGATTTCGATTTTTTTCGTATAATTCCTTTCCAAATCGTCTCATTCTCGTACTTTCGGACTTGTACTGAAAAATTTTCTGATTTCAATCTTTTTACTCCTTTCAACTTTTACCGTGCGTTCCAGGATCCAACTTTTCTTAAGCGATTTCGATTTTTTTCGTATAATTCCTTTCCAAATCGTCTCATTCTCGTACTTTCGGACTTGTACTGAAAAATTTTTGAAAAAAAAAAATTTTATGTGCCAACTCTGTCCGACGTCAACCCAACTTCCGAAAAATGACTTTTTCTCAAGAATTTTTCTTTTAGTTTTTTAAAATGCACTCCAGCCTATCGTATTCTTTCAGAAATTTATCGACAGAGTTTATTTTTAGAAGAGAAAATAAGTTGAAAAGAAAATTTCCGGAATTGCTCAATTAAAACAGAAAAAAATGAGTATCATTTGAAAGAGAATGGAATAAATATTCAATTAATGAATTGGAAAACAAGATTTGAATCGATTAATCGATTAATCCATTAATCGATTTTATTTTGACGACGTGTACTTGGTGACGGCTTTCGTGCCCTCGGAGACGGCGTGCTTGGCCAACTCGCCAGGCAGAATGAGACGGACGGCCGTCTGAAGTTTGCAATTTAATCCATTACCTTCAAATTTTTTTGCTTTTTCTGCCAAGCTGGGAGGCAACTTAGAGTTTAAAAATGAAAGCGCGGCTTGTTTGCGAATTTGCACCCATTCACATTCACGAAATTTTTCACCTATCGATCTATCGCCTGTAATTTGAATAAATTGAAAAACTTTGAACGTCAATCGCCAAATTGGAAGGCATTGCAGAGTTTGGAGTGAAAGTGGGAACAGTTTTGGCTGTTCTGTCGTGTGGAAAGGGGAATAAGCTACCGTAGTTGAATAGCCAAAATCGTCTCCATCGTCCCATCGCCCCATTTCACTTCAAACTCTCAAATGCCTTCCAATTTGGCGATTGGCGTTAAAAGCTTTTCAATTTATGCAAATTAAAGCTAACTATATGCCCCAATGAACACTTAATTTCTCAAAATTCTGGAGCTGACTTCTGGCTGAAACTGGAACAATTCGGCTTTGTCCCGGGTTCAGCTAGGACATTAAATAGGCACATAAATTCATTGAACCTTAAATAGGTTCGTAAATTTTAGTGTTAACAGTTGCTCGAATTCATCTATTTAAGAGCAGTATCTGTCTATAAGAACTTTTTTTCAGCTGCCTTTAGGCCAAAAAAAAGCTACAACTTCTTTAGAAAACCTTAGAATACATTGTCATGGTATTTAAAATTAAAAATTAAAAAGTCAAATTGAGTGGCGCTACGTCGGCTCAAACCCGGATTGTGTGGGCTGAGGAGCAAGTCGCTCCCGGCACGGTGACCCTAAACGCCACGGTGACCCTAAGACCCTAAACTGCGCCACAGTGACCCTAAACGCCTGACCAGAAAAACCAGATTTTAACCGGTTTTGGCTTTTTTTTGGCTATTTTACGCTAGTTTTTCACTGATTTTTTTCGCTCTATAATACTAACCTGAATTTCGCGAGACGAAATGGTCGATCGTTTATTGTAGTGCGCTAAGCGCGAGGCCTCGGCGCCGATCCGCTCGAAGACATCATTGACGAACGAGTTCATAATCGACATCGCTTTCGAGGAGACTCCCGTGTCGGGGTGAACCTGAAAATGAATTTGTTTGAGTCATGGCTATTGGATTAGCTCTAGTGTGTGCCAGATACGAGATATTGATCAAAATCTCTCAAAGATCTGGCCTAGGTGTCGAGATTTCGAGCTCCAGTCGATTCGACGGAAAATCGGTTTTTCCAAAATGAGTTTCACCGCATTTCAGCCAAGCCCAATGGTTACTGTGCCATCCAGCTTACAGCTTTTCACTTTGAATGACCTGTTTCAAGACGCGGTAGATGTAAACGCTGTAGCTCTCCTTTCGCGACTTCCTCCGCTTCTTGTCAGGGTTGCGCACTTTTTGCGTCTTTGCCGCCTTCTTGGCTCCCTTCGCCGATGGCTTTGGTGGCATTTTTTTGGTGGATCTATAAATGGAAATTTAAAAGATTCAAAATTTCAAGCTGGATGCAAATTTCGAAAGGGAATTTAAGGAAAAAGGCGGGAAAAGAGATCCCAACTGGCTTTGATGAAAATTTCTAAAGATTCATTTTCCCCTAAAAATCCGGATATTATGTACAAATCTGGATATTACAGAAGACTCAGAAGCAAGAAAATCGAGAATATATCAAAGTTTGCAGGATTTGTAAAACCCCCGGTTTGAGTCCAACACCGTAAACAAGCCGGATTTTGAAATTTTTGTTAAAAACTGGTAAAGTTGAGCAAACTGGAGCGCACAAGAGAAAATAAAAGTTGAAAAGATCGGAGGAGACTCGGGGAAATTGTGAGGTTGCATTGATCGACGGTCGGCTTTTCAAGGCGCTCGCCTCGACGTTGCCCCGCCCCCTTTTGGCCAGTGATTGGTTAGCGAGTGGGCGGGGCAACGTCCAGCCCAACACCTATAAATTGCCTCCCAGCATGCAATCAATTTGCATTGAATTCTTTGAAATCTTCCAAATCTCCTCCATTTTCTCTCATCTACTTTACCCCTACAATTTCTCGCAAATCCTTGGACCAATTTTCGGTTGTAAGCAGCTTTTCTGCCATCCTGGAACGCACACTTGATTCCTTGATTGAGAAATTTACATTTAAAGATGTTTGAGTTTTTTATTTTTGGTGGTGCTCTTTCAAAATACTTCAGTCGATTTTCTCGCTTCCCCCACCATAAACCCATTTTAAAACTTCCCAAATTTTTATTCTGGCATCACTGGACCTGTTCCGATCAAAATAAATCAATTCCAGATCAATTCATTAAAAGATGAGCGGACGTGGAAAGGGTGGAAAGGCGAAATCGGGAGGAAAATCCAAGTCGAGATCGGTGAGAGCCGGATTGCAATTCCCGGTCGGGCGGCTGCATCGGATGCTCAGAAAGGTTAAAAAGCTATTCCCAATCTTAAATTACCTTGTCCATTCCAGGGTCACTACGCGCAACGTGTCGGCGCCGGTGCGCCCGTCTACCTGGCCGCCGTCTTGGAGTACTTGGCCGCTGAGGTTCGTGCTATTACAGTTTACACCCAATTTTTGGTTTATCTGGTGCGCACACAAAAGTTTAAGTCAGTTTCCATAGCTGCTCCACCTAAAAGCGGAAAGTACCTTTAGTCGAGAGTTGACTTTGAGCTGATATTTTGGTTTTTTCCCCAAAATTTGACGAATCTGATAAAATATCGTTCCATTCTGGAGCTCATGCTAACCGGAAACTAGAATATCTATTACCAACTTTTCAGGTACTCGAGTTGGCCGGCAACGCGGCGAGGGACAACAAGAAGAGCCGCATCAACCCGCGACACTTGCAATTGGCCGTGAGAAACGACGAGGAATTGAATAAATTGTTGAGTGGAGTGACAATCGCTCAAGGAGGAGTTCTGCCGAATATTCAAGTGAGAAATCGCTAAAAAACTGCTATCCAGGGGATCAGATCGGCTATGCAGGAGATCCAGGGGTCTGACCCTCTCACCTAACAGCCTAGAGTCGATTCAATGTCCTACATAATTTAAGAATTCTATTGAAAATATACATCTCATAAAAGCAAACAAACTTCCAGGCTGTCCTTCTCCCCAAGAAGACCCAAGGTGACAAGGAGTGAAGAAAACGCCGCAATCCATCCGATCTCAAATCGACGTGTATCCCATTCCTTAACTTATTTTGGCTAATATTTTTTTATTTCACTTTTTATTGGCTATTTATAAAGCTTTATTCTTTGGACTGAAATAAATGATGATTGAAATTTTCATGAAAATTCAAACAACACGTTACACAAAAAAGCAGCAATTGAAAATGCAAACCAGATGAAAAGATCGATTCATTTTCAACTTCTGCTCGGGTTACATAGGAGATATCGAAAGTGGATGGATTGAATGAAAAAATAAGATTAAATGAAATAATGACACAATAAGAGCACGAAAACAGCAAAACCGGATAAAAACCCTCAAAGCTCCATCATTTCCGATTGCGGTTCAACGTAGAAGGCGAGAAATTGGGTCCATGTAGCACTGAAGTCCGATGAAAGGATGTAGACACAATCCCTGCTCGAATCAATGTTTCGGCGAAAAAAGAAAAAACTATCGTTCGTAAAATCACGTAAGCAGTATCCGAAAAGCTTTTCTTCGTTCCCCATTTGGATGACCTCTTGATTATTTTCTCCATCAAATCGCTTCATTCCAGGGAATTGCGAAAGGAAATCAACGAGTCGGGCCTCCCTCTCCTTCTGACAAGCGGCATCCACATAAAAAGCAGCTTTCAAATTCTTGCTTGGGATCAGCTTATTGACGACTGATTGCACAATCTCTTCAAATTGACCGAAGCGATCCCACATTTTAAAGAATTTTATCGAAGTCCTGGCCAAAGCATCGTAGAAGAAGCGAAACGAAGATTCGAAATAACAACGAAACTCGACTTTTTCGCAGTCATTCACCTGATTTGCAATGAAATTCTTGAAAAGCTCGCTGACCACTTGATTTTCTTCGAGCAAATCAATTTTCACCTCAATCCACGCGACTTCTTCAACCATCCAGCGGTTGCAATCATTCTCACAAAATTTCAGCAAATCCTCGCTAACACTCGACACCGAGAGACGCAAACGTTTCACAGAGTTCAATTGATTCAAAATCGTTGCCTGTTCGTCGCTCAAATATTCGCAGTACAAGTTTATCCACAAATCGTCACACGAGTGGATTTGTTTGATCAATGGAAGGTGGAGATCGGCATCAAAGTAGACGCAGGGGAATTTCTGGATTCGACTCCTTCCACCAATATAGATCTCGTGCACGTGATGCCCAAAAACTATCCAGGGTGTCCGTAGCAGGATCGATCGAAATCCTGCATTCACCTTGACCAATTCAATCGCATCATTCGGCTTCGTTTGCTCGAGCATCTCCAACTTTAGATCGTAGCATAGCTTCTCCATTGGGAATGACGTCAGCCTTCGCATTTTGAATGGCATCTTGCTTGGCGTCGTTCTACCTGTAAATAAAAACAGTTAGATTTCGCAAAAACATGTAGACAATTAGAATTAAAAGCTTCTAAACAAAATTCTAAATAATCGCTAGATAACTTGGCTTATCAATCATGATAAGAATGACCGTGAAAAATTTCAACTCCGAGCTACCAAAAGGTATCAAAAAACATTGGAGTTTCCTTTTGAAAGTAAGAAAAGAAAATGAAAAAATCACGGCATGTTCGGGTTTTAGGGCCATCGGCAAATGAGTATTTTGCCGGTTAGCTGAGTATCTTCGGCAAAAACATATTCAAAAAGAAAGAAAATGAAAAAATCGCGGCATGTTCGGCATGTTTTATACCCAACGGCAAATCTTTTCTTTCTTTTTATACCCATTGGCAAACCTTCAGCAAAAAGAAAGGGAAAATATAGATCATAAGGGATTTCTCCAGATCAAATTTTTTGATTTATTTGGCTAAGAAACACCCCAAGGATGCTGGAGGAACAAAAAATAAATGTCACTCAGGAATTTTCGGCAAAATTTCAAGCAATGTTAAGTAAACCCTAAATCGCCATTGAAAAAAACTAATAATCGCTAGATAACACCGCTTATCAACCATAATAAGCAATGATATCAAAGAGTCGAAATTCTTAGGACGGTCATTCATTTTGCAAGACCTTCCCTGGTGGGTACCTATTTTATTTTAACTTTTTCTCTCTATTGGAAGGGAAGGGCTTGCAAAATGAATGAGCGTTCTAAGAATTTTGTTGGCTAAGAATTTATTTTAACACAGCCTGTAAATAGTTAGGGAACTTATGGGCGAGTCGAAATAAAAAGTAAGTAGCACAACACCACACGACTCCACCACAAAATGGAGAAAAATGAAAAGAATGGCAAATGGGGAATTTTATGCGGGGTACGGTAGGACATCCACACTTTAGAAGCGCCGCGGCGCTTTCCAAAGCGGAAATATCTAATAATACTTTGGGAAATATCTAATAATAATATTAGATATTTCCCAAAGTTTCAAACCAGTCGGATAACTAGGAATTATAAAGTGTACGTCCACAATTTTGTCTTTTTCTATAGAGAAATCCATGATGATATCACAATGTGAATGATGACGAGGTGTTCTTTGTGACTGAGCTTGCCATGCTCAAATTTCTGTGATCAATTTTTGCCTTAGATTTGCCTGTATTTCTTCACAAAATACAGGCAATTCATATTTGTTGTCTTGATTTTCTCCAGACTGGTTGGTCCAATCAAGCCTATTACATTTTAATCAGATCATTAAGGCTTCCCAGGAAATATTGAAGCGATATGAACTGTATCTCAAATTAGAGCCGATTAAGAAAGTTTTTCAGGATGTCTTGAAGCAATCTGAGAACTATTCTTGAAATTAGCCCTTTTAAAAGAATTTTCGATTCGGTCACTCGCAAAAGTTATGGTAAAGACTGTTCCCTATTGCCTACAAACTTTTTCACAAATATCAACTATGAAGGAATTGAAATGGTTTACAGGGTGGAGTAATTATTTAGCCAGAAAATCTGAAAACTAAACAAAACTGTTCTTTAATGTTTGATTTCTTATCTCAAACTCGTTTCGCCAAAAGGCTTAGGCTTAGGCTTAGGCTTAGGCTTAGGCTTAGGCTTAGGCTTAGGCTTAGGCTTAGGCTTAGGCTTAGGCTTAGGCTTAGGCTTAGGCTTAGGCTTAGGCTTAGGCTTAGGCTTAGGCTTAGGCTTAGGCTTAGGCTTAGGGCTTAGGCTTAGGCTTAGGCTTAGGCTTAGGCTTAGGCTTAGGCTTAGGCTTAGGCTTAGGCTTAGGCTTAGGCTTAGGCTTAGGCTTAGGCTTAGGCTTAGGCTTAGGCTTGAGCTTAGGCTTAGGCTTAGGCTTAGGCTTAGGCTTAGGCTTAGGCTTAGGCTTAGGCTTAGGCTTAGGCTTAGGCTTAGGCTTAGGCTTAGGCTTAGGCTTAGGCTTAGGCTTAGGCTTAGGCTTAGGCTTAGGCTTAGGCTTAGGCTTGAGCTTAGGCTTAGGCTTAGGCTTAGGCTTAGGCTTAGGCTTAGGCTTAGGCTTAGGCTTAGGCTTAGGCTTAGGCTTAGGCTTAGGCTTGGGGCAGGCTTGGGCTTAGGCTTAGGCTTGGCAGGCTTAGGCTTGGGCTTGGGCTTGGGGCTAGGCTTGGGCTTGGGCTTGGGCTTGGGCTTAGGCTTAGGCTTAGGCTTAGGCTTAGGCTTAGGCTTAGGCTTGGGCAGGCTTAGGCTTGGGCTTAGGCTTGGGCCAGGCTTAGGCTTGGGCTTGGAGGCTTAGGCTTGGGCTTGGGCTAGGCTTAGGCTTAGGCTTGGGCTTGGGCTTAGGCTTAGGCTTGGGCTTGGCAGCTTAGGCTTAGGCTTGGGCTTGGGCTTGGGCTTAGGCTTGGGGCTTAGGCTTGGGGCTTGGGCTTAGGCCAGGCTTGGGCTTAGGCTTAGGCTTAGGGCTTGGGCTTAGGCTTAGGCTTGGGCTTGGAGCAGGCTTGGCAGGCTTAGGCTTGGGCTTGGGCTTGGGCTTAGGCTTGGGCAGGCTTGGGCTTGGGCTTGTCAGGCTTGGGCTTAGGCTTGGGCTTGGGCTTGGGCTTGGAGGCAGGCTTGGGGCTTGGGGCTTGGGCTTGGGCTAGGCTTGGGCTTG